CTTCAGTACACAGCTTGTAACAGTACAGGATTCAGTCAGAACAAAAAAGGTTAGCCACTTATCTAACACTTGGGCTCATTTAAATTACTATTCATTTATTGATGATGAATTGTTATTAAAGTCAATATCAAGTCAAATATCAAACCAAAAAAAAAAAAAAAAAACAGGACCAAATCTATTATTAACAACTCATCATTTTCATTGCATGGTTTAAATAAGCGCAATTAAATGTGCACAATTATCCTATTTTACATAATACTCCAAAAGGTCAGAAACGTCAGCTGCAAGACAAGCACAAATTATGTATAAGGTTTGTTGAGTCTTCTGGTGTATTTTCACTTAGAGAATAGTAAGATCAGGATTTGAAGTGTGGAAGCTTAAGCAGCTGTTTTAGAGATTATTATTGAGCCGCAGGTGCACACGCCTTTGCACCCGAGAGCCTCGTAAAAGCCCAACAGATCAATATGGCCACATTAAAGGGCAGGAATAAAGGACAACCAGAGCAAAAGCACTATGAGAGACAACAAACAATAGAAAACCACTTCTCCCGGACAGTGGAGCTTATGACATGTCAATTACATGTTAATGATCCCCAGTGTAGGCCTGGGCAATCCGTGGAATTCATTCATTCATTTGAGAAGTCTAATTATTGTTTGAAAATTGTTAACGAGAAGAATGTCCAAATTGTGAAAATAAGTTAAGATAATGTGCCATCTTTGCTTCCCTGATCCGCAACAGTTTAAAAGGATGTACGCAATTGTAAACAACAAAGCCGTCCTTAAAGAACAGCATGTTTTTAATTTGCACTGTCAGCATCTGTAAAATACTTGTATGGGATGAAAAGGATTTGAAACTTCAATGTTCAGCGCCTTACGTTTAACGGCTTTTGAGACAAAAGATGGATTGAAAATTGTAATGGGAAAAAATTAAGAAATTGAGAGTAATTGCGCTTAACGTGATTGCACTTAAGCTGTCGTGAGTTAAGGTGGTTTTATTGCATTGTTATTTTTTAGAACAGAGATACAATCATAGATGTTTTGAAAAAAAAAAAGTGATTGTGATTGTGAGATAGCCCTAAACACACACTTTCTACTTTCTTTCCACACGCAGATGCCATGCGTGTGAAAATAAGTTAAGATAATGTGCCATCTTTGCTTCCCTGATCCGCAACAGTTTAAAAGGATGTACGCAATTGTAAACAACAAAGCCGTCCTTAAAGAACAGCATGTTTTTAATTTGCACTGTCAGCATCTGTAAAATACTTGTATGGGATGAAAAGGATTTGAAACTTCAATGTTCAGCGCCTTACGTTTAACGGCTTTTGAGACAAAAGATGGATTGAAAATTGTAATGGGAAAAAATTAAGAAATTGAGAGTAATTGCGCTTAACGTGATTGCACTTAAGCTGTCGTGAGTTAAGGTGGTTTTATTGCATTGTTATTTTTAGAACAGAGATACAATCATAGATGTTTGAAAAAAAAAAGTGATTGTGATTGTGAGATAGCCCTAAACACACACTTTCTACTTTCTTTCCACACGCAGATGCCATGCAAATGATGAGTTGGTTCAAATTTCCCATCAAGGATTAGTTAAAAATGTAATCCACATTGTTTAAGAAAAAGAAAAGCGGTAATAATCCTTTCACTCGCCACTATAAAAAGTAGAACGTAACAAGCTCATAGTGTCTGCAGTAATAGTTCCATACCAGTCGTGAATGCTTTTTTTTTTTTATTAATTGGTTCCTGCTAAATATTTGAATGTGAGGCCCTTCTGACAGCTCTCTCATGTTGGATCGTAAGGCACACTTAACATTCTTCTAAGCAGTGACTGTATGGTTAATTTGTAACACTTTGACTGAAGAAGAATTCAAAGGCTTCAGTGTGGGAGTTTTTGTCAGCCTTTGGGGCCTTATAACAAGTTCCTTCAAGGATGTCTTTGAGTGGGAAAATCACTGTGCATTATTGCTTTTCATTAGGAATAGTGCCCGACTCCCTGAAGTGTGAGACAAAAGATATTGAAGAAGACTTGTGAGTGAAGTGTGCACAGATGAGAGGAAGAGGAGGGGCCTGTTACGGGCTAGGCCCTTATGGGGGTCCTGGGACTTGCCCATTTCTCCGTCCTCCGTCCTCTCTCTCGTTTGCCAAAGGGGGCCGTTGGCACTGCAGCAGTGAGCGTATTCGCGCGCCCTGTGAGCGCACGAGCATATAACCTGGAGGAAAGGTGCACTCGCTCTCTCTCTCTGCGAGCTCCTAGGGGCCATTCCAAATCAACCCTGGTTGCATCTCCTCCCTGGCTCTCTCTCAACCATGCACTTTTAAGCTGTCTTTTGGCTTATGCACCCAAATTCATATGGCACATAAGGCGCCTCACTACACACCAAGCACTACCTGCACCTACACCAATGATTTATACATAACACACCCCATACTGTACCTTTTGGTACATATTTGTATTCATTCTTCTGTTTTCCAACTAAATACACTTTTGAGTGCTTTAATTCCACCTCGTATCCCCAATTGTGGCTCAGAGCCAAGCCATAAGCAGAAAAGCTTAAAAAGAGAACAGAACAGAGCAACGCCAGAGGCTAAAGGACTAACCTAGTGACCCACATCACACATCCAGGAATGAGTGCTCACCATCCCACCACATGCTCCCACTGGACAATGCATAATTCAAGGGGTGTTGAATGGACCTGGAATAATGGAGAAATGCCACATGGTTGTATTTGGGTAAAGGGTACTGCTTCTGATGTTAAAATTAAAAGATTTTACAGCATCTAGGTTGATAAAATATGGAAATTGGAATTTAAGTCAACAATTTTTCCATACAGTAAGTCCTGACTGGCATAATGAGACGCAAAAATATACAGTACAATGATTATATGTATATGTATATGTATATGTATGTATATATATATATATATATATATATATATATGTACTGTACTGAACTGTACGTATGTATGTCTATCTATCTATCTATCTATATGAATAGTTACTCTATACAATCTCCATGTACAGTATGTATTTGCTTAAGACAAATCATGCATCATTAAAAAGTAAAACATGACCTACTAAAGCACCAAGCCGTGCCTGCATCCATGTTTTATGTGGTCTGGTCTGACAAGCTGCAGAATGATGCAGGCCTCTGTAAACCTGAAATTTATGTGACCTGTAGGCAGTTGGATATTTAGCACAAAAAGTTGTAATTCTTGGTCCGGCTCGTATCTACTCTGTTGTCCGATTGAGTGCATGTGTTCCTGATTACAGCTGCAGCTTTATAGAGGAACAAATAGATAGTGAGACTGCAGCTCTGAATTAATATTTCTCATAAAGCATTGCCCTCTTGTGCCCTCTGTCTGCACAAAACATTTGTAACTGTTCCTCAGGCCATCAGCGGAGCGCAGAGACAAGGGCAATTGGTCGTCTCACAAAGACACAATGTCCACTCACTTCGAGAGGCAAACATATCAGAAAACCAGTTTGCCAAATAAAAGTCACTCACTGCAAGGGGGCAGCGCAGACAAAATGTGCATTTCCAAGTTGGAGGAACTTGTCAAGTGACCACGGAAAAGGATAAGGAGCACTTTAAAGTGCTTTTGGTCTGGGTCCACAAGAACAACACCCACATCAACACATAGTGCTATCGCAAGTTGGCAAGTTTTGTTAGGTAAGCACCTGGGCTCAGAACTGGGTCAGACCTGGTTCAGACCTGGATCAGACCTGGTTCATATTTCCTGAAAGGTTTTCTACTGGAGCTGTTCACTGAATTGGTCTGCAATTTCACCAGGATTTCAGCATTGTTCGAATCTTTGGATACAGTCTGCAAATCTGTCACTGCTGCCAAAATGTTGGCCACGCAGCACAGCCTGCTCTCGAGCCCAGAGAGTAGGCTGTATATGTAAACTTGACGTATTGGACGCACCGGTGTGAACGAGGCCTGAAAGTCAGCAGTGAGCAAAAACCTACTATATCATAAATCAGGAGGGCCCATGTCGGCTTAAACCGCACACCTCTATTGTGAGACTCCCTTGATTCTCAAATCACAAGACTTTTCTCGTTAAACAAAGTTTAATACAACAGTGCGCTGAGAACACACTTTGTTTTACATGATTTTGAATTCAGTGGATCCCAAATCCCACCACATATGAATTTCATTATGATGGCATAAGAAATCTTGATGATATTATTAATGTATAATTGTCTGTTCATAAAGAAAAGGGAAGTAGCAAAACATATTTGTTAGAAGAAAAAGAAATAAATAATTAAGGATTTGTCATACTCTAAGGTACCAATGCATAACCACAAAAGTGTTACGTTCAGCAAAGTAACTGCACAATAATGGAGGTGAGGTCTTTGTGCAGAGCGGAGAAAACACCAGCAGTGGTTGTAAATCTCTTTTCAATACCACTGCAGTTGCTTCCCCTTAACAACAATCATTCACATATAATCTACAAGTGGTTCTCTTAGATCAAACTGTTACTGAGCTTCAGGAGAATATCTCATCATGAGACAGGCATTGCATGGAGCAAACAGCATTACATAGAATTAGGATTCAACAGAACGTGCAGTTTACTGGTATATGCTGAATCACCTTTGCACCCCTAAGAACGTGTAATAATTCCCAAAAATCACCCGGTGTTTGCTTTTTGTTTTAGTTTCACTATCATTTTTACCTTTAGAAATTCCCAACGCATCATGCCGTAAACACAGGTCTCCACAAGTCAGGACATTTCAGTCACATCAAAGAGATGAACTGATGTGGACTTCTTTGAATTACTTTCACACTTAAACCTCTTACAATTCTACAAATAATTATTTTTGAATGAATAATTCTAAAATACAAACATTCTTTTAAAAGGCAAATCATGAAAGTGAGAGTGCTTGACATGGTGGTTATAGAAAAATATTTGTTTGATTGTAATATTTATGATTGTTGCAAGAATTTCAGAATAGATTTATTTCCACTGTGCAATTTTTACATACAGCCCTCGTCCGTCTTTATTCTGGTCCAATCTCTTCAACTGTCAAACCAAATTTCATACAAAAGTAGAATATTAGCACATGCCCTTGGATATTGCATCAGGAGCCTGCCTGTACTTTGAACCTGCCCAGCAAACAAGATAAGCAGAGACACCCCATACACACATGTTTACGGTCTTGAACTCCATCCATTTCCATCCATTTTCTACCCTTTAATCCATTTCTGGGTCAGGGGGGTGGCAGTCAGAGATGCCACCCAAGTCTCATAGCACCAGCCCCTCACTGACCCTCTGCAGGTGGTGAGTCCACAGGAGGACGGCTGCTCTCTGAGTGTGAGCAGAGCCTTGATCTTTCAGTGGGGGCTTTGGGCAAAGTGGGGTTAAGTGTCTTGCCCAAGGACACAACGACAGCAGTCATCAGTGGGAGTCGGTGGAGAAGGTGCAGAGGTGGGAATTGAACCCACGACCTTCTGGGCTTAAGGCCAATGCTCTACCAACTGAGCTACTGTCGCCAGTTCGGTCTTGAACTGTGACTTAGAAATGCAGGCATAAAAAATATCCAGCTCCCACAATTTTTAAGAGGGTTTTATGTTTCTTTGATTAAATTATTTTATGTGACAAGATATATGGAAATTGGGTGACTTGAAATCGTCTAACAGCCAAACAATTCTAGTGCAAAAGGGAGAAACTTAAGTTGATTAAGAAGTGAGAAGACTACAAAGAAACGCTGCTCGTCTTGCAGAGCGGTGCTTTTTGCCAGTAAACGGTCAAAAACACCGCCTGCTGCGATATCAAATAAACTTCTTCAAACAGGAGAGAGAGTCCACCATTGGATTGTACGTTTGCTAAGCACTCTCGCTGGCTGCCGGGTTTGAGTGTGGATGCATGATGTATAAGTCTATAAAGGCTTTTAACCAGCTCTTCAAAGAGGCTCTGTTTAGACTGAGAGGAGAGCAAACTATCCCCTCTTAACACACCGACAGGCAGGCGAGGAGAGCGCAAAACCTGCCACTTCACTGTCAGTTCATTCATTACTTTGTCATTCACAGGCTGCCAGTTTTCACATAAAACAGTGATTCTCAAATTCTGGTGTGGCATTAATTACAGATGCTGTTCCACTGATTTAGTAAGGGCAGGCGTCGGATAAGTTACAGGTAAAACTATTTTTATATTTATTGTATTATTTGGGTTTTTTCAAACGGTGAACCAATTATCAACATTTTAACAAATAAAGGCTTGACATATTACACTCTTTACCTGCAAAGAGTCTGTCATATATTAATTCCACAAGTAAATGAACATTCGAACAATATTCAAATTTTCTGATTTTCACCTGGCTTCGTGCTTCTTGAGGTATATGTACTTTTTAACTTTAAAGTGAAACAAATATATTAACAACACAAATCTGATCATTCTTTTGTCATTTACAGACTCTGGCGTTTAACTCTTTAAGGTGCCAAAGTGGTAAAATTTCTATTTGAGTTAAATCCAGGACACTTTAGCGACCTTGCATACCACACAAGTTTCACATAATTCTTTGAAAGAATCTCCTGTAAAGGCTGAACACAGAGTAGATTAGGGAAGAAAATCATCAAACTTACGATCCAAGCCGTTGACATACTTCATGGTGATCTCGCAATGCCCCCACACAGCGCTTACGACCGGGTACAGCTTCTTGCCTTTGAGTCCTCGGAATGCCACTCCAAGATACTGTCCATCCACCATAAAGCTCAGCGTACCTTCATCCATATCCAAAATCACTAATAACGAGTCCGGCAGTGTGAATGACTCCTCTGGCTCTAAGAAACACGGGTAGAAGGGCAGTGAACTATGTGCCCGGTTTTTACTGTCGTGGTACAACCGGTTTCGTCCCAGATCCCAGCCCCAGGACTCCGAGTCTGAACCTACAAGCGCAGTGTATCCTACTGAGTGTAAAGGTGCTTCTAGGGTGGCTACCCCAACGACAGCGTGGGTACCCCTTTGTCTCGACGGCCAGTGGATCTTCCATACGTGAAGCCCTCTTGTGTATCCTACTTTACCCCGAATGCAATCTGTGCTTTGGGCTACAGGATGACGATGAAAGGTCAGCTTGTCGTCATCCTTTATGAAAATATTAAGCGATCGATCATCGGCGTTCCATGCGTGACGGAGCTGGGTGTCTAGTCCGGCACAAGGCATGTCCAACAGAAGGTCGAGTCTTGGCGGTCTTGAGAAATCCGGACCTCTAAATTCTGGATGCTGTCTACGGCTCGCTAGCGGGCGGTATGAAGGCGATCCACCACTTTCCCCACGACTGTCTATAGACTTGATGCCGCTGGAAATCTTTTGACCCATATTGGCGAGGTGTAGGGTCCACACAGGGAGAGGGTGTGGCAGGGTGTGGCAGAGGGGATTGCGCAGGTCAAAAGTCTGCGTTACCTCATCAAGGCTTTGGGGCGGGCAGGAGAGACGACCCAAGACCACAGGGGGGGCAGGGAGATGAAGGGGGTGATGGATGGGTGATGGTTGTAGTCGGGGATCATGCCAGTTGGGTTGTCATGACGTCAGATGCCAGCTGCTGCCAACCCTGTGGAGGAAAAAGGGAAAGTATTTTAAAAAAGTATAAACGCAAATAAGTATGTGTTTTGTATTGTTTACAATATGTGGCTTTCAAATTTTCAAATTTTCAGCTATGAAAGATAAAATATATCACTGTTTAGTCTGCAATAAAAGTGTAGTGGTAGAGGAGCACAGGGACTGGGCTCATGCTGGGGCTCTGAGTTAAGAATTAAACATGGAAAGGTAGCGTTTAAGATTTTGTTGTTGATTTGATGTTTGATGTCTGTTTGATTTTATTATAATCTCCAATAGCTATTGAAATATACAGTAGCTATTCTTCTATTCTTTATGAAATCTGTCTTCCCTAAAATGTGAGACAAGGTTCTAATCTATTATACAAATACAAATTTAATTTAACCCAAAGCCACATTTGCAACTACAAAGATGTATTCAAAAATGTGTCTGAAGTAAACAACGTGATTGTATAAAAGTACTAAGCAGTAAAAATCCAAAATAAAGTATTTAAACAACAATTGACAACAAAAGACCCTGATTACAAGGACCCAGCAAAAATGTGAGAATGAATTGAGTGAAAAGTTAGAGTTTGACTGAAATTTAGACTGAAGAGAATCAACTGCGAACAGGATGGACAAGTGTGAACGCTGACTGGCAGCCGCACACTTCCTCTGTTCCTCTCTAAACCTGCACTGAAGTCGCCGTGCTGCATTTATTTCAGTAATGTAAATTTAATAAGCGCCCCTGAGTCAGCATAGACCTGAATAGCGCGTAAAGAGAGCGATGAGCAAAACCATCAGGTAATATTCAGCGTCTCCCGGCAGGATCCGCTATGCCATGGAGTCACAACAGGGGATGTCAGACACAGACAGGATAATGGTGCGATGACGTGACGTGATTGTGTCAGCTTCCTGTTCAGAGAAGCAAACTCACTCAGACACAGGGGAAGTGGATAGAAAGATTCCTGGCTGCATGATCCACACTCTGTCTGCTCCATGAACGCTATAATGCAACTCTGCTTCATTTGCGACACTAGTCAGGCTCGACTCATGTGATATGATTAGTAATTGCATCAAAATAAGGAAAGAGTAAGTGGATTAAAGCTGGGGTACCTAATTTTCAAACCACAACTAATGGAACTATGTAATGAAATCCATCTACAGTAGCATCATACAGATTTTTAAGAGACAAAACTTGAAGGAGAGGACCAATGTTAAGATATGTCTGGCATATCGCACTCACAAATATAATGAGCAAGTTAAGGCTGAGGTCATGGTATAATTTTGTGACCGTCTGAGCCCTGCTGCACCCTTACACCATATGAGACACCTCCATAACATTTGTTTGTTTTTTTGTAATTGTTTCGGTCTCCGTCTGGCACCTGCAATGACCTCATTCATGGCACAATGTGTGGCAAAGCTCGGCATGTGGCCGATTGGTCAGACACAGTGGCAGCTGGCCAGTGCCGTTGCAGCTCTCGGGACAAACACTACAGACTGTGCTCTTTTTTAATTATAATTATATTAATGTAATGGAAAACGTGTACATGAAATTGTTTTTGCCTGTCAGTAACGCATTAACCATAACCGTTATATTAGAGAACATTTAGTATACTACTTTCTGCAAAAAAAATTCTGCATTTTCTTTGTAAAATAATATTTCTAAGCCGACTTTTCCTAAAATATCTATTTAATACTTAGATAATGAAAGCTAATTATCGACTTAACATCTGATTGCTAAAATAATCAAGCTACAGCCCTAGTTTAAACCCTGGTGGAAGCTAAAGTGATAAGGGGATAAGATGAGGAGTGACCCCTGTTGAGGTAGCCTGGTTGTACCACACCATAGTATAAATTACATTTTGTACTAAGGTCCGGAGGTGCTACATTGAGCTCCGTTAACAAGTGGGAGGGATTAACTCCTTTTACAGACAGTTTACCGTCACATATGTAATGCGCCTGAGTGAGTTGTTAGCATTTAGCATTTAGCCTAGCCATCTCCTTTGCCACTAATGGAGCCCGTGGGTAGTAGCGCCACAATCTTTGCCAGCAATAAGTCTGCTAAACATTCCTCTTGCTCCGGCTTAAATTTCTTGATAGAACCAGACCGGAATACTTTACTATTGCATTCTTCGCCATTGCCAAACTACAACCAGCCCATTCGGCACAAACTCCTGACGTCACCCACATCCAACTACAACTTCTGCCTCCCGCGCTCGCTGATTGGTCGGATGGAATTCAACCGACCAATCAAACACAGCGACCAGCCCAGATCTTACATGCAGGGAAATGATGACCGGAGTGTACGGATGGCTAAGATCAGGCTACTGTGGTGGTGGTGATGGGAAGGAGGCGGGTTGCTATGCAAGCTGAAAGTGATAGCAATGGAATGTGAGGTACTGGTTAAATGCAGCAGTTAAAGCAGATAGTGATCAGCAGAGGTAATAGTGGCCATGGAAGATGTTTCAGTCTGAGCCTCCTTTATAGCATCATATGTTGCATAATCACGGAAAAGAATCTGATGTTAAAACAAAGATTGTGACATCTGACCGTGTGACCACAGTACAGTTACGTCGTAAACCTCTCGAGGGGCCAATAGGCTGGCACCTCAAACATGCTAGTGCCATCTGCTGTTTACTTTCCCTCCTCATGTCTGTTTCTGTGCAGCCAACAACTGTTGTTCCCAAATACAGCAGCATATGTGGTCATTAAAGCAAAACATGCTACAATGTGTTGTTGTACTTTTGAAGTCACTGGGGTTGTTGACTGTAAATCATATCAGTTTCATATCATGAAACAGAATAATGATTCTAAAATTGCCTCCACATAATTTCCACTTTAGATTCTTGTTGATATTCACATTCATCACAGTCGGACAAATAAAAGGAGAACACAAAACATAGAATACAAGCAGCTGTAAGATATGATACAAACCAGAATCAACCGTGCCCTCTATTCTGTGCAGAAGCTTGAACCACACACTGTATGACTTTGTACAGTGACTCATATTCATGGATGCGTTTCAAAATCCACAAACTATTCTTGACTTTCTTTGGTAACACGTTAGGCAAAACACAATATTTCAAAAAAGAGGAACATTGATGTTTTTACCAGTGACTCTTATTAATTAAGACTATTCATTTAATATAAAGTACAGATAGTAAGACATCATGCTATCTTGACATACGTGTATGTGCCAAAATAAATGCCAGTTTGCAGGACAAAGCAAACTGTCACCATAAATGTACACAGGAAGTTGGCAGAGCCTTATGATGAGAGGAGACAGATGTGGGCTGCACCTGGTGAGTGGGCAGACTCATCTGGCTTCTCCAGGCTGCACCGCTAACAAGCATCTCCCACTTATTTCTACAGAGCTCGACTTGGCTTTCATTTGGATGTGCATAAGCATCTCTGACCAGGCCGTCATGCTTTGAAGTCTGACACACATCACAGGAAGCAGAGACAAAACAGCGCCCCCTGGGGTGACTCAATGCGTCAGCAGACTGTTCGCTCACATACGGCAGAAGTCATGTGTGACTAACAGGGATGTGTGCCCTGCTTTTCTTATTTAGAGCCCTTCATATTGACTTTATGCAAAACTTCAAGCTCTTAGAATGTGATGAAAATGTTTTTTGTTTCCCCTCAGTTTAAGATTAAATTATAGTTTATATGTTTATATGGCGCCGTAAAGAACGCGCTGTGGCAAGAGCTCTAGTGTGTGCCGTCTTCTCTGTCTGGTACACACTGGGGTAGTCTTGCAGTTTTTCCAATGTGGTTTTACTGCAAATGACAAATACAATTCTTGTATCTTGTTGTAAACACAAAACAAGGCAAGTGAATGCTAAATATAATCTTTATCATGAGATTATTGAAAACAAAGTATAAATATATGACGTATAAACCAACAGTATATAATCTAGTACAACTACCTCTAAGTATGCACATAGTTAATAAAGTTAAGTTGACAATGAGTCACTACTTTTATTTTTTACTTTATATATTTGACAAGGACAGAATTTGAATAGGTGTCCCTAAAAGAACATGTTGCTTGAAAAAATTTTCTACACACTGTATGATTACTTTTCAGAGTAATCCTATATTTTTTGTTTATAACAATTTAGTGTTCATTCATAGTTAGGGGGAGGCCAGAGCAACACCAGGGGCCAGACATAAACTATGCCGACAGGCTCCTAACAAAATGTCAAAATACAGACGCAGAGACCAAACAGCTCCACATTCATGACGTGAGTCGCTGTAGTAATATGAAGGAGGCTTAGTCTAACTGACTCTTAGAGACAGTCACCCTGAGAACAGCTTAAAAAAACAATTTAACAGATTACCTAAAATAGTTGGAATCTTGACGAACATTCCAACATTTGTCTCTTTCATATCACATGATTACACCCATCATTGTGGGGAAACACCAACAGTTCTCAAGAACAGGATATCTGTCAGAAGCAGACAGAACTTCCTCCTTTTCTTCCACCTCCTTTCAACAAAGCTGTGGTCATCTCCCGAGTTAGTTATATTCCCAGACTTTTCCCATCTGTCTCCTCTTCCCGGGAACTGTATTTCTCACAAAACCTTGAATAGACTAATCCAGCACACAGAGCCACATTATTCATTATGTTCAAAGACATTGAAAACCGTCCTTCAAAATCTTTCTTCTAAATATCAACTAATTTTTCAAGACAATTAATGTATATTTACGTCTTATATTGCCTTGACTTGAACAAAGGCTTACGTCACCTTGTATGTAGTGAGCCTCTTTCATATTGCGTTTACATTGTATGTTACAGTATAGATACTCAATACTAAAATAAACTGATATAAATATGGATCTACAAAATATATATGTTCATAGTCAAATGCGGCTGCTGGCATGTGGTTTTTCTTTAAATTCATGGAGCCCAGAGGAAAGACCATTAGAGGAGCAGTGATTGAGCACTCTGTTACGGACACCTTGGTAAAAGTCATCCATCTCTGCGTGCACCTGAAGACATACACACACACA